TGGGGGTGAATTGTGTAATATATGTGCTTTTTTTTGAATAACTTATAAAATTAATTTTAGAACACTATGCCAATAAGCAGTTTTTGTTTATAAAAATTCAATAGTCTTTAGTAAGCTACCATATTAACTGTCCAGCTTAGGTAACAGAGTCCTACAAAAGACCGAGAAGGGAAAACACCATGGCAGGAAGGCGAGTTTGTAAACCATGGAGGTTTGCTTCTAACACTGAATTTAGCCTCTAACACAGAATGAGGAGAATTCTCACATAGAGTTCTGAAATGACATTGGGATTTTAGTTTCACAAATATGAAATATCTCTCTGATTAGTGTGACTTTGTGACACAGTGGGGAGTCCTTAGTTATAAGCATCTGGGTATTTTCTAGTCCAGATGCCCTTTGGCATTTAATTAAGCTGAATTCTAATGCACTCCCCCACCACCCCAACACATCCCCACTACCATTCCCTCCTGGAAACAAATAATTAGAATGAGAGGTAAAGTTGTTGCTATTTTTTAATGAAATGGATACGGCCCACTCAAATTTAAATTTGTTTTGACAGAAAAACAGAACAGAATCAGACAGAAAGCAGAGCTGAATCCATGGATATCAGCTTCCAGGAACAAGAACAAGAACTTGATTTATGTGGGGTAACAGAGACCAAACATACCCCACAGATGGGAGAGAACTGGAGCCAGCGTCATTGGGTAAAAGTGGAGCCTGGGGGTGTCTTCTCCTTCCATAAGCCTGCTCAGTGCTGAGGGCTGTGGCTTATCTGGGCTGCAGGATGGGAATACGAGTGTATCACCTGGGCCAAGCCACCTGCCAGCCCCATGCATGGACCTTCCCTGTCTCTGGTGTAACTGCTGGATACAAGCACTAAACAGCAGCATACAACCTGGGGCCAGTCAGAAGGAAACTCTCTAAAACTACTGGGTGGGGACTGGTGAAGGTGGGGAGAACTTCATTTAAGTTAAGATTGCAAACTGAAGTTGAACATACACAAGGAAAACTATTGCTAGGAAGGACAGCCAACAAAACCAGCACTGGAACTCCATGACTTACTTTCAGTAAAATATAAGTAACAGGATGATCTTATTAGGACTAAAACGCAGTGGTGTATAACACCCAGATATTTTTCTAAGAGCCTCACATGTATTGTGTCATCTGATCAAGACAATGGCACTATGAACTCGGTACTATTACCCTTATTTTACAAATGAGGAAACCAAGACACGGAGAAGTTTAGGAACTAACTCTAGGATGCAAACCAGTTACCGAGAGTGCAGAATCACCGACCCCACAGGACTCAGAGATTATAAACAAGACCAACAAATCATGAAATTAAAAGGAACAAGAACAAGAAATTATGAAATGAAAAGAAAGACATAGAATAACAAGTAGATTTTTAAAAAAGAACCAATTATAGATCATGGAAATAAAATAATAATATAGTCAAGGAAATATCCTCAATAGATGATAAACTTTGATTAGATACAGTTGAAGGACAACTTAATGAAGTACTACTAAGTCTTTTGCCTAGAACTTGGCACGGCAAGATAAAAAAATTAAATATCTGAAACAGATGTTAACAGTCATGGTGAATAGATAAACAAAACAGAAATAGACTCACAAACACAGAGAACAGACAGTTGATTACCATGGGGAGGTGGAGGGGGAGTAAATAGGTGAAGGGGAAAATTTCAAATTATTAAATAATTTAGTCTCAGGGATGGAAACACACCCATGTATCCATGATCACTTAAGTCAAAAATAGATTTATATTTTTTATCTATTACTATCATCTCCCAATCTCTTCTCTTTTCCCCTGACAAGCTCTCCCCTTCCTAACTGTAACCGCTATTCTGATTCTAAACTGTAGTTTAGTGGTGTTTTCAAGCTTCATATTAATGAAATCATTCACTATGCATGCTATTACATTTCCATTCTTTTGTTCAACATTACATTTGTGATGTTTGTTCATGTTGTTGGTTTGGGTTTAACTATCTATTCATTTGTAAGAAACTTTTATCTATCTATAGATCCATCTGTCATCTATCTATGTACGCTCTGTTCATTTTGAAGTCATATTCTATTATATTGTATTAGTCAAGATACATTAAACTTCTGTTAGTAACAAAAAAGTGGTAAAACACTGGCAAAGTTTCAGTGTATTAATCCAAAGAGTTTATTTCTTGTTCTTGCAAAATGCACTGCCGGTCAGGTGACTCTTCATGGCTACTGTCTTCCACATGTGACTGTGCGACCCAAGCTGCTTGGGTCTTACAGTTCTAGCATTTTCATATATGGCCTTCACACTTGCTGCCAACAGGGAAGCAAAGGATGTGAAATCACAAAGAGCTTTTCTGTACTCCAGCATGAGAGTGACATATGCATTACATCGACTCACATATATTGTCACAAGTATTCATAAAGCCTTTTTTACCTGCTTCAAAACCTGGCAGTATCATCTGGATGTCTCGACAAGAGAGAAGAATCAGATATTGGTAGGCACTAATGAGGTCTACCACATACACCTTAAAAAATAAATTTTACAAATCTCTAAGATAAATTATATATTTTAACCATGGTAGAAAAAATATTGGCCACTGTTTGGGAATTCAGCTGCCATAAAGAAAAAAAAATGACAATTTTAATTACAAAATATGTTTAAATGTTTGTGTGGTAAGGAAAAACATAAACAAAGTCAAATGTAAACAAACTGAAATATAGGCAACAAGATCTTAATGGTCTAATATACAAATAAGCTCCAATAAATGTGTAATGACAGCAAAATCCAGAAAAAATTAAAAAGATACTTGCAGAGATTTATAGAAGTAGCAATTAAATAAAAAATGATGTTTATTATACCAACTAGTAACAGTGAAAAGTTTCGTTCATCCATTGGTACCACAGAATTTGTTCAAATTGTTAATTTCCAATTCCACTGAAGTTACAGAGAAATAGATACTAGTGTCCCACCCTACTGGAGGGAATGTAAATTACATTAAAGTGGTGGAAAGTAATTGTGATGTATTAAAATTTTGTATATGTCTGTCCTATGATTCAGCAACTCCATGTCAGAGAATCTACACAAACAAATACTTGTACAGAGCCTGAAAGGAGTAAGTTTAAGAATGCTTATTCCAACATAGTGTGTAATAATCTAAGTGCTAATTTGAATATCCATTAATAAGCAACTGGTTAAATAATTAATAGTTTACTTATTATATGTGATTCCATAAGCACCAAAACTATAAACTCACTCCACAAAATGATTGTTCAATTACAAATTTTCCCTGTAATGGCTTTTGAAAACTATACCACTTTTGAGGTGACTGTTTTCTTTTGAGTAACAATGTTTTCACAGAAAAACAAAATAAATATGATTGAAAAAAATGATATTTTGAACTTACTATTTTAGACAAGAGGACCCTCAAATTTTCTCAGCTCAATGTCTACACAGTGAAGATACATGGACAGCTTTGAAGTGCTGTCAGATTTATCTCAGCCCATGATGTCTTCCACAGGCACAGAGCGAGAGGAATAAACACGGAGCAATTTCCCTGATCCTTTGGCCTTTTACTCACCTGCATTCCTGTTCCAAATGTTTGACCCACTCTAGTGTTTAGTCTTTATTTTCCAGTATACTTGGAATGAAAGTTAACCATGAGCCCACAAATGGTTTAGAAACTGACAAATATAAGCAGGAAATAAAAAGTGAGAAAAACTTGAATCATGGAGCAAATGACGGGTGTGATAAAAGAGGACTGAAGTGGGAGAGACAAACAAAATTCTGCATCTCTAAGGGTAGCTCACTCTACGTAAAGGTAGGGAGCGCCTGGCTGAAAGTCAGCTGCCTACCTTCCTCCTCAGTCCTCCCTAGAATGCCTCCTTCACACCTCTCCGTTCCCTGTCCGCTCCTCCTCCTTGGTGACACCTCCATGACACTATTACGTTGACTTCATGTCTGGAAAACTCATTTTGTTTTCCCTCAAATTGTTTCTTATTGCTTATATAAACTTGTTTTTATTGTCAATCAATCTGTTTTTTCTCTGTGAAAACAGTTTTAGTATCTTTGGGTTCAGAGGAATCAATTTTTCCCACTACAATTGTTATAAATGTTTCTTTTCAGTTTAATGGCTTTAGATGCAGTGGCACAGGTTCAGTTGCATGAAAGTTGTTAAGTGGTATGTGAGCATATTAAAGGAATTTCTGGAATTTATGCATTATATATGCAAGTTGCCTGTGATTGGTGAGTGAAAAAAAAGCAAGCTTCTGAATATTATGTAAGTGATGACCTTAATTTTGTAAAAATGATCTGGAATGACTCTATTTTTAGTGGTTTTGTCTGGGCTTATACAGCATGCTAGTTGTCAGTTTTAAGATCCTGAGACACAACCCTAAGGATCACATCCCAGCTCCAAAACTTAGCTATAAAACTTAGGGTGACATAACATGAGTAACTTGATTTTTAATTTGAATATCCAGGATATAATAATTATGTTACCTCACAGGTGGTTGTGATAATAAATGAAGTAACCAACTGCCATAGCAGATAGCTTACATGTCGTAGCTGTTAAAATTATTTTACATACATGTCTATTGTTTGTTTATTTTAAAGTGAACGTGTTAATTTTGTAAAGAATTTAAAATAGATCTATAAGGTGTGCTGAACTTTTGTAATAGTTTTTCCTGTACTACTTATGACTGCTCTTTCTTGAATAATTTGAATAAATGTATGGATTTGGATAATCGGAATAAATGTTGATATGAACTGACCATCAGGTCCTATGTCGAGTTCTGGCTCTGCTTCCACAATCCCACTTCAGTCTGATGGAGATGCTTCTCTAGGTTCTTGGTAAAGTAGGACTTCTCTATTTGAGTACCATAATTTCAAATGTCGAATGGAATACTATTTTCTGCACATAAAGTATAAATACCTATTGTTTATTAATTCTTGCTTCTGTCTTATGTTGCTTCTTGTTTTCATTTTTTTGCAGGGAGAAGAGACTTGGTGATGAGAACATTTGAGTGTAGAAACCCTGAGTTGACGGTTTCCACTCACCTGCATTTCCAGCGACACTGATGAACAGGGTTGGGTAAGGAAGCTGGGAAACACCTGAACGTGTGCAGCAAACCTCTGTCCACTGCCACACTGGAGACAGGCGGCCGTTACAGGTACATCGATGAGGCTTAAGGGAAAGCAACTACCACTCAGCTAGACTTAGATTATGTGCATGGTCTGCATATGAAGTACTCAGAAAGCATGGCACCAAAAGGCTTTGTTTTCCTTGAAATGTAAACATAGGCATGGCTCCCATCAATTGTGAGGAGGAGGATGGATAGAGGTGACAGTTGAAAGGGGAAGAAGACGGGGGAGCGGAGGCAAAGGCCCTGAATCACTGCAGATTTATCAAGGTGTCGCTTTTATTTTCTGCTTTGTTTGTGAATACAATTTATATAATGAACTTTAGTTTTGCTGGGAACTGAAGCCAATCGATTCGCAACATCATGCTTTCTTCCCCTGGCCTTCCTAGGTTGGGGAGTCCTCACAGATCAGGAGTTATTCAGGGTGCCCTCTTACTCAGTGTTGTATCTGCGGTTTAGGAATGGTTCCACACATCGACAGACCTTTAAATGCAGCACCCGGTGATCTCATAATTGACTTGTCTCCACTGTTTTAACACTCAAAATGCCAGCCAAATTGAAGTGCAATGAATGGGAAAAGTCATTTGGAAAGGAGCACTGATGAAAAAGTTTTACTCTCTCTTTGAAAACTGGATTAATATTCATCGTGGGGAATTCATCGTGGGAGCTGGTGGCACTACTGGTGTCAGCCTGGTGGCCCGTTCACACACAGGAATAAAGCAAGAAACACTTAGCTAGTTGGAACAACTCCAAACCAACTCCCAACCCTTCAAGGACGCAGTTAGCCTTCTACTGTGGTATAATGTCATATCCAGGCTATTGACATGGATACAATCCACTGATTTTGGATTTCCAAGGTTTTACCTGTACTCATTTGGTCATATGTGTGTATTTAGCTCTATACAGTTTTCTCACCTGTGTAAGTGTGAGTGTCTGTTACCACAGGCAAAGTACTGAGCACTTACAGCACAAGGGTCCCTCGTGTTTTCCCTTTGTAATGAAACCAGGCTCCCCTCTGCAAAGCTTGGCAACTACAAATTGGCCCTTCATTTAACAAATTTTGCCATTTCAACAATGTTATATAAATAGAATCATGCAGTATGTGACCTTTTGGGATTGGCATTTTTTCACCCAATAAAATTCCCCAGAGATTTAGCCAAATTGTTGAATGTGTCCATACTTACTCCTTTTTATTCCTGAGTAGTACTCCATGGTATATGTCTACACTCCTGTATTTAATCATTCACCTGTTGAAGTACATTTGGGCTGATTCCGATGATTGGTGACCATAAATAAAGCTTCCTTGAGAGTTCACGTGAAAGTTCTTGGGCAAATGTAACTTTTCATTTGCCAGGGTAAACGTGCAAGCCTTCATTTGCTGGTTCATATGGTATTTGCATGCTTAGTTTTTGGAGGAACTGCCAAACAATTTGCCAGTGTGGCTGTACCATTTTATATTACCACCAGCAATATGTGAGTGATCTAGTTTCTTATTTTCACCAGCATTTATTGTTTTCAGTATGTTTTTATTTAAACCTTCCAGACAAATATGTACTGCATTGTGATTTTAATTTCCATGTCCCTGGTGGTTAATGATGTTGAACACCTTGTGTTGTGCTTATTCATCATCTCTGTCCTTTTTGATGATGTCTTGTCATGCCATTTGCCCATGTATTAATTGTATTATTTACTGTTGAGTTTGGGGAGTTATTTATATCTCTCTGACACCAGTTCTTTGTCATATATGTGGTTCACAGATATTTTTTTCCCAGTGTGTAGTTTGACTTTTTATTCCCTTCAGACGGTGTTTCACAGAGCAAGTTTTTAATTTTGATGAGGCTCTATTTATTAATTTTTTCCTTTTATGGATTGTGACTTGGATGTCTAATCTAAGAAATCTTTGCCAAAGATCTCAAAGATGTTATCCTATGTTTTTTCTAAAAGTGTTTAAGTTGTATGTTTCAAATTTAAACCTGTGAGTTAAATTATAAGTTAAATTTTGTCTGAAGCAAGAGATTTAGCTCAAAATTGTTTCATCTTTTTACTTTTTACTTCTTCTTTCTTTTTCTTGTTGCCTGTGCATGCCCAGTTGCGCTGGCACCATTTGTTGAAACGCTATCTTTCCTCTATTGCAGTGATTTGCATCCTGGTCAAAAATCGGTGGGTTTTATTTGCGGGGATCTTTTTCTGAGTTCTTTACTCTGTTCCATTGATCTGTTGTCTATCATGGTGCCATTACATTGTTTTGACTACAAAAGCTAGATCATTGGCCTTACTATCTGTAGTGTAATTCCTCCTTTGTTTTAATTACTCCAGAGTTTGTATCCTAGAGAATTCTTGGGCCCATGGGGACCAAGACCTTTCCTTGACCATGTACCAGTTGTTGCTGGCTCCCTCCTGCCAGCTCCGCTGACCTGCTTCAGTAGCTCAGTGACAAAGGTAAGCTGCAGGCCCAGCAGGGCAGGATGGAGCTTCCTCTCGCAGTTTATTTGTGGTGAGGCTCCCACTGATCATCCTTGCCAGTGATGTCAGCTCACCCAGTGTTGTCAGAAGGACTCCCATTCTAGCTGGGAGAAATATGAACCTACATTGGCTGCCTTCTTTTGCTAGCTTGGTGATCAAAAAACAATGAGTCTGGGTGGACTTCTCTGCCATGTGGGGGGAGATAGATGCCTGGTGCCATGCTGTCCCTCCAGCCCTGGGTTCAGCTCACCATCTTACCACTTTCCAGAGCTTTCTGGTAGCTTGTGACATCATTTGCAGAGTTTATAGTTGTGCTTCATGGGAAGGAGCAAGCTCAAGACTAGAAGCCAAGGTCTATCAAAGAGATATTTTTAAAGCCAAATAAGTAATTGTCTTTTATTTTTAAAAAGACACTGACTTATCAAGAATAGCACTTGAACTTTCAGGCAGAATTGAACAGAAATTTCAGAACCTGGAAAATATGTGCCATATCCCCAGTGAACTAATCTTCTTGTGCTTTATTAAAATGCTCAAACTTTTTCTCTTTCTTGTCTTTTTCCCTTTGATAAAAATAGAGTCTGGGCTAAATTCCAATTTGAATAAATATACTGATCTTCCAAATTCCCTTGGCAGTGTAAAGCACATGCAGCTTGCTTCATGTTCTCTCTTTAACTAGTGGAACAGGATGGCTGTACACTGAGATAGGTGCCCAGTTCTACTGGGAGCTGTCTGGAGAGGAAACGCCTTTCATTAATTATCCTATAGATTTGCTGTAACACCAAAGCTTGCAAAGTTACATATTTGAATCAGTGCCTTGTTTTTCTTTCCCTAATTAAAACCCCCTTGTTTTCCTTGTCATTATTTTTGAATCTGTTTAATACTTATACAAAAATAAAGAGATCTGTTTACTGGAAAGAAAAATCATGTTGATATTTCCAAGTGCAACATTGGGATGAGTGTACTAGCTCGTGCCAATGAGTCTGTACACACATACCTCAGTCCTTTCCCACCCACATGACAGTTCTACTGCAGAAAGAATCTCCACCTTTACTTCTCAGTCACACCTTCCAGTTAAATCTCTGCTCTTATTCCTTCTTAATAACTGTTGGCCCAGAGCTTTGACACCATATGTATTTTGTATTCAGATGCCATTCTATTTTTTTTTTAAAGACAGAATCTTAAAATAATAGGATTGGAAAGGGTTCAAAATTCACAAGATGTCCAACTCAATCTTTTTAAGTAGGACAAATCTAAAGCAAACAATTTACATTATGCTTAAGAACTTCCAGAGAAATAAATTCCATGGTATACTTTGAAGATGTATTCTAATATTAAATAGCTTTATTTCCAAGTAAATTTCTCTAAATTGAGTAGGCATTAAGCCATTCTTCAAAGAAAAAAAAACATAGCGTGCACTAGAAGAAAAAATTTTACTGTTTTACTATCCGTTATGCTAATTGGAAATTGAAAATAAATTTCTAGAGCCATAGTCGTTAGAAATATTTGGGTTTTAGACTCCTTTAATAATCTGATAAAAGCTATAAATTTCACCAAAAGAAAACATATAGTTGCAGGAGACTCAGGGGTCAAAATCCCAGGTCAAGAACTCTTGTTTTGGAGTGTAGCTCATTTTCTCTGAGAACTTCTAAAGTGCGTCTTCTAAATTTCAGAATCCCTCAGATAGAAACAGTGCAGGGAGTAGAATTCAAAAGGAGGTTTGAGTGGATTGCTTGTGATTCTTTGTTTATAAATACCAGAAATAAACTCTGGTTAACTTAAGGGGGAAAAAAAAAGTCACTGGAAATAAATTTGAGTAATTTATAATCTGAAGAAAAACCCAGACCAGAAATGACAACAAATGAGGTAGCAGGTGCTGATGCAGTGGATAGAATCTTCGAGGTGCTCAGAATGACTCAACTTCAGCTCTTCTGTTGCTACCAAAAAACAATAGAGGAGATTCTGTAACATGCAGAAGCAAGAAACGCCCATTACAGTAGCACTGCCTGCTTGTAAGCTTTTGCTCTAGTCACATGGCTCTCCTCCTTTGGCTGGTATGCTAGGTATGTGATGGCAAGGGGCTGGCCAAATCCGTCTTATTGGGAAGCAGATGCCTCTGATCAAGGTTTTGTTTCTTGGGACACTAGTCACACAAGAACAATCCAGTGGGTAAAATTGTAGTATTTCCAGAACACCTCACCTGGCTTTAGTGCATCCTCTTGGGTGAAGAGAAGGGTGGCCTTAGTACATCTGCACATCAATAGGCATTCCTCAGGGGTGGAGACAAGTTCATCTCCATATCAGTGGGTAATTAATTACCTGGGCAACAGGGCTTATCTGAACCCAGGAGGTTAAGGGGAGGGTTGGTTGTCTTCTGTGGAGCAGGAGAGAGAGATGGCCCTGGACTACAGTTTGTAAGCAATAAAGGGGTTTTAAACTTTATTTCTCCCTTTGACTGATTTCAGTTTTAGAGGTATTTTGCCCTGGGATTTCCTCTCCCCAGACTTACAGATTACTTCTAGCAAAGCAACATAGCCTTTGCCCCCTCAACCCACTTAAGAGTTCCCTCCCTGTTCATGATAGCAGTGTGCAACTTCATGCAGCAGGCTGCTCCTGGGCTCCCTGTATCTATGTCCCAATAAACCTTCATGTCTCATATGGTATCTCTGGGTCTTTCCTTCAGTCTTCCGAGTGCTTTCCCATCGCAACTCTCCCACTTGGGCATGTGGTTGGACCTAATAAGAACAGGAATTATTGCTACCCTTTATTTTAATTGCCTTTGATATTTTTATTATGGCCACAATTATTCTCTTACTTATCATAAACTTTTGTCTACATACAACATATCTATATGAATTTTGAAGAACCAGGATACAAACAAGTGGTCAACCTCCAAGGAGGACACGCACTTTGGGTGTGGCCAAATTGTTTAACAGACAAGAAGAAATTCTCAGAAGATGGAACCAGGGACCATGGAGATTCAATTGAACAGAAAAGTCTTCCTAGAGTACGAAGCCAGACCTGCTCAAGGATCTTCCCCACTTCTTGGTGTGCAGGGCTGGGTTCCTTCACGATGTCTACCTGAGGGATTCCAGAATTGCTATGAAACAGTGATAGGTGTTATCACCTGTTCCTCTCCTTTCTGAATGAGAGTCTTTGATGTTTATTCTCTTATTTACAATTGTGTATTGGATTAGTGTGGGGGAAACAGAAAAAAAACAAAGGATGCCCTTCTGAACAAAGACATCAGTAAAAGATGTTTACTATCATAAGTTTGGAACATTCTTACTTTAATTGAAGGAATATGAGCTCCCTGGTTGCTTTCATGGTTATGAAGCTGTCTCAATGAGACGATGATACATGTCTTCTGAGAACATTGCAAAATACCATTGTTGACAACCTGCCATCTGGTGTTATCACAGTCTCTTAAGGGTGTGAATCTTTTTTTTCAAGCTCTATAAACTACATTTTTCAATATTTTCACTTGAAGTCTAATCTGATACATTTTTTAAAATGATCATAAACACTGATATAGACCAATTTTAACATCAGCCTAACAGCCCAAATAATGCGAATGGTGCAGTTTAACAAACTATAATCTACTGAAAGCCCACTCTGTGAGGTCTGTGCTATGATCAATGGGTAATTAAAATGCATAATATGACAATTACAACATAGTCCTTGCACTCAAGAAGAATATAACTTATTATATAACAGAGAAATGAAATCTTTGTGAAAAATGGTATAAATGGTCTTAATGTAACAAAGTAGCTAAACAGCAATAGCATGACTGGAGAAATAAAGCTTATGAGCCAAATTTGAAGCATCTAGAGTATTACCGAAGGCCAAGCATTATTGAAATCTGCAAATGATATATGAGTATCTCACAAGGCAATTTAAATTTTCAGGACACCTTTTATCATATCTGTAAACCACAAAAAAAACCCTGGGTTTTTCCCTGCTTTCTTCCTCTTTGTCTTTATATAACCAAAGATGACTTAAATGTTCATAAATGAAAAAGAGAGTAAATATCCAAGGTGTCTATATGAATCATAAATTGGAAAGCAGCTTTTAAATTCAAGTTAATTATTCTAAAAACAGTTTTCATGATGTCTTGTTTCGATAGTTTAGTGACTTCTGGTGATTTGCTCAGGAAATTATGGTCCTTCTGAAACCTTTAATGCAATTTGCCAGAGGTTGTTTTCATATTGTAAGATATGCAGACTCTAGGCACATCTACTCCAGAAACAACTGCATTAAAAATTGGTTAGGTTCATGAAGAAATAAATGAAAACTTCAAAATTTCTCCAAAATCATATAAATAATTTTGTTACACTATTATTCAATGGAATGGTAATCAGTGGGGTTGTATCTGATATGTTTTTGGCCATTTGCACAAATTTAATGTCCCTGGTGAAAACAGCACATAAATTTACTTTTCAAGCCCATATAATGTTACATTAGCCCAATTTCACCAAAGAGCTATAATCATGATTTATATTATTTGGCCATTTAAATATAAACTAACTCTTTCCTATGTAACATTAATTTGGAATCTTTTCCAAAAATGCAAACATCATTTTTTATGTGTTTTCTTTCTATCTGTCTAAAATATCAACCACTTACAGTGGAATGAAAGAGACATCCATATGCTATCTGAATTGTTGATTCTGAAATCAACAATTTGATAAACACTGAAAATAAGAGTCATTATATTATATACCAGATGGGAAATGGATTTGCAGATTAGACAGTGAATTTCCATAGTTAACAAAATGTATTAAAAGTGTTTGGCTTATTTAAATAAGGTTAGAATTGTTCAATGTTATGGACTGAATACATAAATGCATAGCTAGAGTGATTTTTGTTACACAGGTTCACTTAAAAAATAAATCATACTGGGTGGTGATGGTGCCATGTGGGGGCCACACCAAAAACAAGCACGTTTAGCCTAAAGTTCTAAGCACATGCTAAATCTTCAATATGTAATGAAGCTATTCCATGAACACACACCTGTGGTTGGAAACTGTTTTATCTAGATTAAGAGGAATACAATCTGTTTTATAATTGACAGACAAAATAAATGAACAGCTCAAAACAAAGTTCCCTCATGATATTAATTTTAGAAATGCTCTGTGTAGGTTACTGAAAACTTCCATTAATCCAGTGTAAATAATCCCAGCCAGGATATGGCCCAAACCAGGAGTTGCAAGGTGATAGGGTACACAGTTTCTTCTCTGAGGGAATTCCATTACTACATGCACTCTTCTTGCTACTTCTCCCCTTATTTTCCTATTTTCCATGAGGCAGTGGATGCAAAGATCTTTTTTGAATAAGACAGAGACAGAAAGTATCAGTCAACATGGAATATTATGTAACATTTTTGTGTAAATGGTCTATACACAACAGGACTGAGGACTGCCCGTTGCTGCATTTCAAAAAACACTTTAGTGGACAATTTCATTTTGCAAAATGAAAGCCACAATCCTATTCTTCAGTGCATGTGTTAGAGGTACTGAGGAATTAAATTGCTCTTATGAGGATGTTTCATTATCACCAGAATTGCACCTGAGGGTTTTTACTATTGACTCAGAGGCCGGCCTATGACTAGAAGAAATTGCTTTCTCTGTTCTTACAAGAGCCCTAAGAAAGTAGGGACTGATCTTGAAGTACTTGGGGGACATATAAAGAGGTAGATGATAGGAGACTAAGAAAAAGAAACTGACAATACACTTTGTCAAAGTAAATAGTCCAAGGATTGTAGGAACTACCTGTTTCATAAATATGTTCTGGTTAACTCAATTAACACAATGGACAGTATTTATATGGCCATGTGTTCTAATTGAGTTATTTATTAACTATGAGCCACATAAATTATTGTCTTCATCTTCTCATTAATGTTTACTGTTCCTCTACATAGAGATGATGTCAGTGGGGACAGTGCCAACTCTAAAGAGTATTTAGGAAATAAGTGGTGGTATTTAGGTTGTCCCAATAATGGGAGAGAACTACTGTCATTTAGTGGTTGGAAACCAAAGATGTTAGACACCCCTAATTTTTTTTTATTTTGGTATCATTAATCTACAATTACACAAGGAACATTATGTTTACTAGACTGCCCCATCACCAAGTCCCCCCCACATACCCCATTATAGTCACTGTCCATGAGCATAGTAAGATGTTGTAGAATCACTACTTGTTTTCTCTGTGTTGTACAGCCCTCCCCGTGTCCCAACCCCCCTACATTATGTCTCCTAATAGTAATATTCCTTTATTATTTTTGCCTTATCCCTCCCTTCCAACCCATCCTCCCCAGTCCCTTTCCCATTGGAAACTGTTAGTCCATTCTTGGGTTCTTTGTGTCTGCTGCTGTTTTGCTCCTTCAGTTTTTCTTTGTTCTTATACTCCACAGATGAGTGAAATCATTTGGTATTTGTCTTTCTCCACCTGGCTTATTTCACTGAGCATAATACCCTCTAGCTCCATCCATGTTGTTGCAAATGGTAGGATTTGTTTTCTTCTAATGGCTGAATAATATTCCATTGTGTATATGTACCACATCTTCTTTATCCATTTATCTACTGATGGACACTTAGGTTGCTACCAATTCTTGGCTATTGTAAATAGTACTGTGATAAACATAGGGGTGCATCTGTCTTTTTCAAACTGGAGTGCTGCATTCTTAGGGTAAATTCCTAGGAGTGGAATTCCTGGGTCAAATGGTATTTTTATTTTAAGCCTTTTGAGGAACCTCCATACTGCTTTCCACAAAGGTTGAACTAATTTACATTCCCACCAGCAGTGTAGGAGGGTTCCCCTTTCTCCACAACCTCGCCAACATTTGTTGTTGTTTGTCTTTTGGTTGGTGGCGATCCTTACTGGTGTGAGGTGATATCTCATTGTGGTTTTAATTTGCATTTCTCTGATGATTAGTGATGTGGAGCATTTTTTCATGTGCCTGTTGGCCATCTGAATTTCTTCTTTGGAGAAGTGTCTATTCAGCTCCTCTGCCCATTTTTTAATTGGATTATTTGCTTTTTGTTTGTTGAGGTGTGTGAGCTTTTATATATTTTGGATGTCAACCCTTTATTGGATCTGTCATTTATGAATATATTCTCCCATACTATAGGGTACCTTTTTGTTCTATTGATGGTGTCCTTTGCCATACAGAAGCTTTTCAGCTTGATATAGTCCCAGTTGTTCATTTTTGCTTTTGTTTCCCTTGCCTGGAGAGTTAGGTTCATGAAGAAGGTGTTCGTGTTTATGTCCAAGAGATTTTTGCCCATGTGTTTTTCTAAGAGTTTTATGGTTTCATGACTTACATTCAGGTCTTTGATCCATTTCAAATTTACTTTTGTGTATGGGGTTAGACAATAATCCAGTTTCATTCTCTTACATGTAGCTGTCCAGTTTTGCCAGTACTAGCTGTTGAAGAGACTAGACACCCCAAATTTTTAAAGGTCAAATGCAACAAAGAATTATCTTACCTTTGTATTTGAACAGCCCATTGTTCATATAGTCTAAAAGCAAGTTAGTGATTCCAAAACCTAACTCTGTAAGATATATAAAACCAAAGTATTTTTTGCAGTTTTAAAGTTCACTGAATATTTCAGGAATGCAAACATGTGCACAATAAGGGCAGACAAGACCTGGTTATCTTTAAAAATTAACCAAGTGTTGCATCACCAATGGCAACCCCATTCCAAGTATTTGAGTCACAATTACACACCACCTGTAAATCAGTCTGCATTTTACCTGTTATTAATGACTCCAAGTATAAACATTGTACCTAGAGTTCCATGTACCATTTCTAGTGAAGTCACCTCAAGCATTTATATAGCAATATTTATAGTATCTTATTACAAAATGTTTTGATTATACTTTTTCTTTGTTTTAAAGGCTTGGCACTATACCTTTTTATTTATTAGAGAATACTTTGCTAAATCTACCATCTTACTACCTCTTTACAGTTTTTCTTTTTCTTTTTTTTCTTTTCTAACCTTCTTTTGGATTAATTGAATTAATTTAGTATTTAATGATGTTGCTACTGATTATTTTTTTCTAAAGATTTAAGGTTAACAGTATACTTCATGAAGTTGTCAGAGCCTTTATTCAAATAATATTTTAACACTTTAACAATGACTTAAGAACATTATGTTAGTGTACTTTCATGTCCTCCTCCTGTCCTTTGGGTGTTGTCATATATTCACTTCTATGTAGGTCATAAACCTCACAATCACTGTAATTATTATTTGTGGGGGTTATCATTATAAATTTATTTTTTATGAAATTTATTGAGATATAATATACAAACTAAAATTGTATACATTTAATCTGCATGATGTGATAATTTAATGTATGCATGCATTGTAAACTGACAACAGTGATAAAGTTAATTTATCCATCACCTCACATAGTTACTTTTTTTTTTTGGTGTGTGTTAAAAATGATACTCACTCTTAGTAAATTTCAAGTATTATTATTGACTATAGTCACTATGCTGTACATTAGATTCCCCAGAACATAGTCATAACTCACCATTTATATACTTCACCAATATTTCCCCATTTCCCCTCCCCCAAGCCCCAAGCAGTCACATTTCTACTCTCTGCTTCTATGAATTTGACTATTTAAGATTCCATATATAAATAAGATCATGTAGTATTTGTCTTACTGTGTCTACCTTATTTTGCTTAGCATAATGTCCTCCAGGGTCATGTTTTTACAAATGGAAGGATTCCTTCTTTTTTATGGCTAAATAATATTCCATTTCCTATGTAATTTTCTTTACCCATCTGTTGTTTAACAATTTAGGATTTTTTCTGTGTCTTGGCTATTGTGAATAATGCTGCAATGAGCATGTATATAGATATCTCTTTGATATCCTGTTTTCATTTTCTTTATATATATACCCAGAAGTGGAATTGTGGATCATATGATGGTCTGTTTTTAAGTTATTGATGACCTTCATACTATTTTCCATAGTGGCTGCTCCATCTTACTTCCCACCAACAGTATATAAAGATGGGTAATCTGGAGTACTGTAGCAGCAAAATAAAGTATCTAAAGATGACAGTTCTGCTTGAAACTAAGATTTACAGAAATCCAGGGAACAGAGAAGTAGAGGCAAAAACCAAAACAAAATAAAAACTTTCATAAACCAGGCTTATCTATGAACGACAAAGAAGTGGATATGTGGAAAGTCTATATTTGATAATTACAAAAGAAGACAGAGTCTTCCATTCATATCACTGGGAGAGTTATTCTAAACTGTCATATATAGGAAACTCCTCCCAATAGTTCAAAAAATCAAATCTTTTTTTAAATATTGAGGAAAATTTGTCAAACTCCATACTAAGTTATTAAAGGTAATGAGATGAAAATGAAGCAAATAACATTCAGATGGAAATGAGAACATAGCAGAGGTATATTAATCAGAAGAAAAGAAATGTTACATAATAATTCAAAAAAACTACCAAAAATAACAAAGTGGTCAGAGTTTTGGAAAACTCAGAACTAGAAAATCTCAGAAAGCACTAAATTAAAAAGTGCAGCTAGAAAAGAAGAGAAGAAGAAAAAGTAAAAAAAAAAAAATCAAACAAAAATAATAGCAATAAAAAAGATTTGGCAAAAGTAATTGATAATTGAAGATATATCATTTAATTATAAGGACAAGATATGCTTGCAGTTGAACTTTAACTTGCTTTAACTTGAAGAGAGTGTATAATACCAATGTTGTTACGTGAATATCCTGATACAGGTGTGCACACACACACATACTTTCAATAGATAATTTATGGGAAAAATCTAGAAACAAGGTAAATATTCATCAATAGAGAACTGGCTGAATAAATTATGGTATATTTTTTGCTGTGGAATATTACATAACAATTAAAAAGAATGAATTACTTTTGACTCAGATTTTGTATTGTTTGGTGAGAAAAATTCAGATACAGTGAAGTATAGACAATAAAATGCCATTTTGTAAAACAAGCAATTATATAAAACATTGATGTATGATTTGAAGTATAGACAATAAAATGCCATTTTGTAAAACAAGCAAATATATAAAACATTGATGTATGATTGATTATGTGAGTGAAAAATATGAAAACATTCATACTAGGTCATTACCATCTATTATTTGGTGGGGGTGCAGCTGGGAGATCATAGGGTTCTGGAGGAAAGTGCAGGCAGAGTGTAGAAGAGGAAAAATACATATGTTTGCATATTTAATTGGGTAAAATTATATATACACATATCTAAAGAATTAAACATTTTAATAATAAAGATCTAAATAAATGAAAAAAGGAAAATCATCTATCAAAGTGAAACAGCTTTGGCTGGCTGAAACAATACTATGGGAGTTTTCACCTGAGAAAGTCATGACTTGACAGTGTACCTTTGGGAGAACCCAGTTTCCTACTATGCGCCTCAGTTAAATCCACTCATTGCATTTTTCTAAAACCAGATACAAGACCATGTTCTCTGTCCCACAAAAAATGCGGTACCGTTACCCATGACAACATATGTGGGATCACATTCTCGATGTCTGGGTTACCCGACAGACTGTTAGGATTTAGAATGCTAACACTTCAGGTGGGCTTAACCCACAGTAGTTCTTGCCCAGGGAGGGAGCTTTATGAAAGTTCAGGTTAAAAAAAAAAAAAGTGAAGCATAACTTTTAACATTTTTAAGTCTTTAGAGATAGTTTGTCTAAGAACAATAGCTACTGTCCTCATTGTTGAATTTTTTAAAGGCAATCCTGTTTGCTCGCTTAGGATCTTTACTACTAACAAAAAATGCAGCAATCCAGGGCGAGACACATATCTTTTATTGCCTTCTAAATATTTTTGAGACAATTTTTGTTCAAGTCAGAAAAATTTAAACTCTAATGACTTCTTCAAATAATAGCTTTCTGAGAAAACCTAACAAATTAACATTAAAAGAGATAAACTATTTCTAAGATGTAGGAAAATTTCTGTTTTCGATTGAAGAAGGGTAGTATTGGACATCTCCTTGCTACTTTCTCTTTCCTTTCTTTTTTGTCTGTGTGTCAGGAGCCGGGATCTTCTTTTCCAGCTCCGCCTGGACAGCTGCCTCCTCTGCAGCCAGGGCCTCCGACCTTAGGCGCTCAGCTTCCAGCAGCTTGTTTCTATACTCTTCCCGGATATTGGAGATCTTCTGTCGGGCTTCATCTAAGGAGTCCTGTTCCAAAACCGAACCCCAGGCAATAAGGTCTACAGATAAAGCCTCACTGTCCCAAAGGGGAGGGGGTGGGGGTGGGGTGAAAAACAAAAACAAAACACCCGCAAAACCCACCAAAACACAAAAAACATAAACCAATCCCTTTCTCCTTTCCTTATGTTAATAGTTTCATGTGGGAAATTACTGAGGAAAGATGAAAATTAGGTTGTGGTCTCAACTGTTTATCAATACATAAAATATGAGATAGCAAATGAGGGTAAATGAGATTTTAACGGAGTATCAGTGGGAGAGAAACAAAGAGAAAGGGGAAGAAAGAAATAGGCAGAGGTTTTGGCAAAGCCACTATCTCGTTGAATGAGTTTAAATATAATCTATATAATATATGCAGCCTCGTGTGTCTCTCACAGCAACTATGACAAATCACTAGTTCTCCACACATTCTATCCCTGACAAAATACATCTGGGCTGTAGTACGACACCTGCATTTTTAATTAAGCTTGATCTTTCATACTACAGAAATCTGCCTTTTTTGTGGGGGGGGCCAAGTCTAAATACGGCACCTCTAGTCTTCTGCTGGGGTGGATGAGTGACAGTCACCTAACTAACAAGGTTGAGGTGGTGACCTGCAATCCTAAATGCTGCCTAAATAGCTATAAATAAACCAAACAAACCCAATGATTTGATCTTCCTCCCACTTCACCTTCACTTCTTAAGTTGGCTGGTGCTACCAGTTTCTCTGCCTTTTGGGGATTCTGTGGAGCAATGTGGGGTGATTCTTGAATTTTTCTACTGTCTCGTTAGGATTCAGCTGCCTCGTCTGTTCATTCTGTCTTCCTCCAGCCATTGTCCAACTTCACAAATATTTTGTGGTCCTTTCCCCTCATTTTTTCCCATTTTGTAGATAGATTCCCAATACTGCATTTTAGGGGGATTTTAGGGAGTCAATGAAATTATATGTGTATAATCAAGTTTCTGAGAAGTTGGGAACTAAATGTTAGCAAAGCTTCTTTCTACCCAGGTTCCAAATGATGCTATGATATCATTTTAATATTACAAAAGAATTTGTCAACTGTGATCCATGTGTTCAGTTTCAGACTCACCTGCATTTCCCCGTACATCTCTAGGACTTCATCCTTTAATTTAAAACGTTCTTCTTGGTCAGTGCCTCGAACGCTAAGGACTCTGGTCCAGTACTGTCGAAACTGATGGACCTCCTCTGCCTTTTGCATTGCCTGCTGCTGATTCAGTTCCTCTGTTTGCAGCAGGGGCTCAGCTCTCGTCTTTCTTGATATAAAAACATCAAAAGAAATGTATAAGACATTCAGGAACTCTCGAATGAAGTCTACTTTAGAGCTCAAGTAATTTAAAATCCCATCAGTGGTGTGGTGGTGTGAATCAAATAAAATATGAGGCATAGAAAGAAAAAGCCATTATTTTTAGATGGGCTACACTTCATTTATTGAGTCATGATATTTTAGGAAAATATCAGAAAAATTTTAGAAAAATATCAGTAAAATTAGATGCTTCACTTGATGAGGTGGTCCATGGAATTGGTGTTCAAAGCTATGAGAGTATTTTGTAGGCTTTTCCTTTTATATTACAGCTAAATAATTTTGAAACTGTTTTCAAACTTCTAAATATGCTTGATTAACTGTTTCTCTGTTAATTCTATTGTCTAGTTTTTAAGAAAACTGAATCTAATTAGATAATGGCAGCAGGTATATTGGGGAATTTTCTGTTGTTCAACTTGCCTTAATAAGGCTACAACTTAAATCTTTGCAGAAAGCATTTAAGTGCATTTATGACTGACCTAGTAAAACATTTGCTAAATTTGAGGTGTAAAATTATGCACTTCTAAAAATTTAAATACACAGAAAATATATTAAGCATTTAATTTCTAATTTTCTGTTGTTTAGCAACTGCCTGTTGGCAACGTACCCAAAATTCTATGAAGACAGATGTCTACATTGGTCATGTTTATTAAAACTTACCTTACATATTGAGTTAAGTCTACACATTCTAGCTCTTTTCGAATAAGTCGTGGGGACATATCCAAAATTGTTGGGGATCGTGAACAGGGCCCTGTTAAAAAATAAAAAAAGCCCCAGCCTTTCAAAAAAGAACCAAAAATGACTAACTAGATGACTGTTATATTTCATTTGAACTGAAAATAATATTCTGGTAGAAAAGCAACCATTAATTAATTGGGCTGTCTTATTTAACATGGTTTTAATGTGATTTAATATTACTTTTATATTAAAATAGAATTCTATTTTATATTTATCCTTTCGCTGGTGTTACTCACTTGTAGTTAAGTGAGACATGACAAAATGAATATACTTTATAAGAAGAGTAACAAAAGGTTATTCTAATTATAGTTAAATAAAGATGGAGACAGAAAAGATATCATATTTCAAGTTACAAAATTGCATTATAACCAAGTTAACTGTCCCCATGTTTAAAGAGCTTGTTATGTGTATGAAAATTATCCTAAGCACAATAGGAGGGGGTATAAAAATGTTTAAGACACAGCATACTACCTTCAAGAATCTTTTAGTACAGTTGAGTAGACAATAAATACTTAGTAAACTGAAAATTGAATTAGCAGGAGCTTTTACTTCATGGACTCACATGAACCCCTAAGAACAGACTTAAGGAAGAGTCTAAGATGTTAGCCACTGAGCCTTTCCAGACCATCTGATCTCTCTTGTTTTCAAATTATTGAAGCATAATTTACATTCCATAAAATTCACTCACTTTTTTACACAAGTTTACAGAGTTGTGCAGCCAGCACCAAAATCCAGTTCCAAAGCATTTGCATTATCCTCCAAAATTCATTGTATTCACATAGAGTCATTCTCCATTTCCACTAGAAGTCCAAGCAACCATTAAACCTGTTTCATGTGTACAGACCTGACTTTTCTGGACATTTAATATAAGAAGTAGGAATGGTAAAATTATGTTTGACTCATTGAGAAACTGTCAAATTGCAGTGTTTTGATCACTGTTAGCTTTGTAATAAAATCTGAAATCACAAAGTAAAATCCTTTCCCTTGGCTCTTTATCAAAATTATTTTGGTCATTCTGGGTCTTTTTCATTTCCATATGATTTTTGGAATCAGTCTGCCAAATTCTGTAATTTTTCTAATTATAGTTAAAGATGAAGACAGAAAAGATGTCATATTTTAAGTTACAAAATTGCATTATAACCAAGTTGTAAAAGCCCCCAGCAATATTGTAGCATGCTTAATTTGTAACAACTTAAGAGTGATCATTCATTCAGAAATGACTAGGATTTTGATAGGGATTACACTGAATATATAGATCAATGGGGAGAATTACTATCTTACTATATTCAGTCTTTTAAAATTCCTTTCAGTGATGTTTTTTAGTTTTCACTATACAAGTCTCCCACTTTTGTTAAATTTATTTCCATATGTTTATGAATGATGCTATCACGAATGAAATTATCTTAATTTTATGTTTTGATTGTTCATTTACAATATATAGAAATGAAAATATAGTTGACCTTGGACAAAAAGGGTTTGAACTGTACAGGTCCACATATATACAGATTTTTAAAAATAAACATTTTTTCATTTTGTTGTAAGCTTGCAGACGTAAAAAAAATTTTTAATCACATTTTTTTCCAGTTTATCACTGCCTTTTTGGGAGAAAGTATGTCAAAACTCTGCCACGTCAGAATTTTCACTTCCCTAACACCCCTCCAACTAACTATTTAATCTTGGTTTTCACACGTGGCTTGTAAAAGCCTCCAGCAATATTGTAGCATTGCTTAATTTATAACAACTTAAGAGTGATCATTCAGAAATATAATCAAATATACCTTTAAAAAACATAATAAAACAAAAGCACCCAAATTTTTCTTAAAAAAATGAAGTTATGATGCATGAGAGAAAACAATATAGAATACAAATTTCAACCCTACTACATTATTAAAACATAAATTCAACCATGTTTTTCATTTTATAACATTAAATAAAACATTCCTGAAGTACTGACATTTTATAATACAACTCTTCTAGAAACCAGTGGCCCATAACTTCTCTTTTTTCATTATGATTACTCTGGTGCCCTAGATTTCTAATGTTCACTTGCTTTTCTTATTAATGTATCTACTTATGTATATTTTGGGCATTTCAAACTTGAGCTATTTCTATTAGATACCAACTCTGTTCACTCTAACTGCAAAGAGAATATTTTCTCATTAATTAGATGTTTATATTTTCTTACATCTTGCCAAAGAGTATATATTTAAACAGAGGCAGGGGGAGAGAGGCATAGAAGGTTAATCTTCACGTTCAGCTACGAAACTATTATATCAGAATAGGGTGTGAGTGTAGTGTGATGGTCTCGGACCTCTAGAATAGTGCGGCTCAAAGTGTGTGCGTGTGTGTGTGTGTGTGTGTGTGTGTGTGTGTGTGTGTGTGTGTGTATGTGTGTTTACAGTCCTCCACCTGCATACAGGTCCTCTCTGGAATAAGTTCTGAAATTGAGAGTATATATTTGGAAATATTTTTGTAGAAGTTGGTCATCACTAAGTCATTCTATTATATTTTACAAAAGTTTCAGTTTGCAACAGACTAGGGGAAAAAATTTCCTCCATTCTAGATAGTATGAGAATCACTTTAAAAGACATGGTGAAGAATAGTTTGACTGATTGAAGAGAGTTTGGGAAAACATTTGGGAATAAATACAAAGACCACATCCAACCTTTGGAAGAGACACATAGCACAGGCCCCCAGAAAAAAAAGGGAAGTAGAAAGCAACATTTGGACTCGACCAGTTGGCATTGAGGAAGAATGCTTTGGGTTTCCCATGGAATTCCTGGGAACAGCAGGATAGCTGGAGTCCCAGTTCTCCAGCAGGATTCCTTCTACATCCTCAGCCCCTGGAGTTCACGGACAGCACACGCCTTCTTGGATGGAGCGTGAGTCCATTTCTCTTGGTGGTGTGTAATTAAACATCATTTTATATTAAATTAGAATTAAAACAAAACACATTTAAGAACATCTTGAATAAGTTTTTGCTTGTGAACATGCTCCTTTGGCCTAGGTCTTCCATTCCTGCTCACTGTTACCTCTCTCCTTCCTGTCCCTTGTCCCCTCCTTCCTATCCAAAAAGACACCCTGTGCAGTTTTGAAGCTTTAGTACAAATGTCTGAAGACTCTGCTGTGACGACCTGAGGGGCAGGGAGCTGACACACTGCTCTGGGGCTCTGGGCGAAATGAAATCTGCACTGTGACTGCAGGGACACACTGTCTCAGGCTGGTGTGAAGCATAATGATTATGTGCAGTTGTCTTGACTTAAAGATTACCTTGTAAGTATATAAATAAAAAATCTGATATCAGAATTTAACTATAGTTTCATTTTCAGATCTTTGAATTAACTAAATGTGGGGAAAAGTTTATCTTTAACTAGAGATCACAATATGTAGACTCAAAATAATTAGGGTTGGAAAACTGATTCTATCCAAATTGTTTCAGCTTCCTGCCCTTGCATGAGCCCTTTAGTAATCTGAGGCAGAGAAGGCAGTGTATTCATAGAGGCTCAAGTCAGAGACTATGTACAACAGCTCTCTATGAATGACCTACAAATCTAAAATGATAGGTTACTTGATAATTATTCAAGTAAGTTTCAGTGAGATTGGCCATGTGCATTATTACCTATTAAATGAGCACTTATTTTCAGCGTATTCGTTCAAAAATATCAGAATATCTTATTAGTATAGGAAAAACAGCCTTAGAATATTTGAATTCACCTTTTCACTCTGGGAACCCCTCGAGACCTGTTTTTAATTTTAAATACTCAGGCTGGTTTAACAATGTTTTTTTTGGTATACCTTCCCCCCTTTTTTAAATTCTGGTATCATTAATCTACAATTACATGAGGAACATTATGTTCACTAGACTGCCCCCATCACCAAGTCCCCCCCACAAACCCCATAACAGTCACTGTCCATCAGCATAGTAAGATGCTGTAGAATCACTACTTGTCTTCTCTGTGTTACACAGCCTTCCCTGTGTCCCCCCACAACATTATACATGTTAATCACAATGCCGCCTTTCTTCCCCCCCACCCTTATCCCTCCCTTCCCATCCATCCTCCACAGACCCTTTCCCTTTGGTAACTGTTAGTCCATTCTTGGGTTCTGTGTGTCTGCTGCTGTTTTGTTCCTTCAGTTTTTTCTTTGTTCTAATACTCCACAGATGAGTGAAATGATTTGGTACTTGTCTTTCTCGGCCTGGCTTATTTTACTGAGCATAATACCCTCTAGCTCCATCCATGTTGTTGCAAATGGTAGGATTTGTTTTCTTCTTATGGCTGAATAATATTCCATTGTGTATATGTACCACATCTTCTTTATCCATTCATCTACTGATGGGCACTTAGGTTGCTTCCATTTCTTGGCTATTATAAATAGTGCTGTGATAAACATAGGGGTGCATCTGTCTTTTTCAAACTGGAGTGCTGCATTCTTAGGGTAAATTCCTAGGAGTGGAATTCCTGGGTCAAATGGTATTTTTATTTTAAGCCTTTTGAGGAACCTCCATACTGCTTTCCACAAAGGTTGAACTAATTTACATTCCCACCAGCAGTGTAGGAGGGTTCCCCTTTCTCCACAACCTCGCCAACATTTGTTGTTGTTTGTCTTTTGGGTGGTGGCAATCCTTACTGGTGTGAAGTGATATCTCATTGTGGTTTTAATTTGCATTTCTCTGATGATTAGTGATGTGGAGCATTTTTTCATGTGCCTGTTGGCCATCTGAATTTCTTCTTTGGAGAAGTGTCTATTCAGCTCCTCTGCCCATTTTTTAATTGGATTATTTGCTTTTCATTTGTTGAGGTGTGTGAGCTCTTTATATATTTTAGATGTCAACTCTTTATCAGATCTGTCATTTATGAATATATTTTCCCATACTGTAGGATGCCTTTTTGTTCTATTGATGGTGTCCTTTGCCATACAGAAGCTTTTCAGCTTGATATAGTCCCACTTGTTCATTTTTGCTTTTGTTTCCCTTGCCCAGAGAGATATGTTCATGAACAAGTCGCTCATGTTTATGTCCAAGAGATTTTTGCCCATGTGTTTTTCTAAGAGTTTTATGGTTTCATGACTTACATTCAGGTCTTTGATCCATTTCGAATTTACTTTTGTGTATGGGGTTAGATGATGATCCAGTTTCATTCTCTTACATGTAGCTGTCCAGTTTTGCCAACACCAGCTGTTGAAGAGGCTGTCATTTCCTCATTGTATGTCCATGGCTCCTTTATAGTATATTAATTGATCATATATGTTTGGGTTAATATTTGGACTCTCTTTCCTGTTCCACTGGTCTGTGGCTCTGTTCTTGTGCCAGTACCAAATTGTCTTGATTACTGTGGCTTTGTAGTAGAGCTTGAAGTTGGGGAGTGAGATCCCCCCCACTTTAGTCTTCCTTCTCAGGATTGATTTGGCTTTTTGGGGTCTTTGGTGGTTCCATATGAATTTTAGAACTATTTGTTCCAGTTCATTGAATAATGCTCTTGGTGTTTTGATAGGGATTGCATTGAATCTGTAGATTGCTTTAGGCAGGATGGCCATTTTTACAATGTTAATTCTTCCTAGCCAAGAGCATGGGATGAGTTTCCATTTGTTAGTGTCCTCTTTAATTTCTCTTGAGTGTCTTATAGTTTTCAGGGTATAGGTCTTTCACTTCCTTGGTTAGGTTTATTCCTAGGTATTTTATTCTTTTTGATGCAATTGGTTTAGCAATTTTGAGAAGAGAACCATGGTTTGTGTTTCTAAGGATGTTTTGTCCAAAATAGCTTCCTTTCCTGCCTGGGTTCTGAACAAGTAGAGAAATAAAGATGAAGATTTTACTATTGATGCAAGTATCATTGGAGAGTGTAGTTCTATGCGAGAGCCAATTGCACCAGGACCACAGAACCCTGAAGCCGCCCGAGCCCTTCCGCCTCCCTCAGTCATGGGCAGTGCTTCCGACTGAGGAGCAAGCAATGGACCCAGGCTCCTCCATGGGCACCCAGGTCATTCTTTCCAAATTCACCAATCAGATAAAACACAGCCCCTTATCAACAGAAAGTGCAGGAATTGCTTAGGGAATATCCTTCCACATGTAGATCAGCAATGTGGAAAGGCATTTCTCTGCAACAGCCTCCATCAAAGTTGTAGGTTCACTTTAGTGGATAAATACAAGTCCATATGATACAGAAATGAACCAAGTGAGCATGGCTTGTGAACCACTGAAAACTGCTTTCTTTTCCACATGTTAGAAACCAAATATTTAAAGTTTGTTATAAAAACTAAAAATAAAATCTGTCATTTAGTACTCTATAGATAAAAAATGATCTGTGTTTAGGGACAAGTGTATATGAGGTCACTGCAAGTTTTTCATATTTATAGACACAGAAAACTGACCAAAGACATACCTGCTCCTTTTATTTTGGCCACCTGTATCATTAAGAAAAGTATTTAGTGATGAGTTCCTTGAGCAGATTAACAACTTTGAGAAGCAAAATGAGCATCTAGGAATGTAAAACATATGTTTGTCTATATTTTCATCCTAGCTGTCACATATATTTAAGTCAGTGTCTATCCCAGAATTTTTACTTAAAAATATATATTTATCTTACCCATGAGAGCAACATTTACAGAGTTTTTCTTCCGCTCTGCTCACGCTCCTCCTTCCCCACCAGGGGTGTTCCTCCACTTTCACTGATAAGCGATTTTGCCAGATCCTTCAAGCCCTTGGTGATTTGCCACTTCTTCCACAGCACGATCCCGGATGAGGCGCCCTCTGTACTCTCTAAATTCATGGGACTCTTTGCGTCTGACTCTTTTAAGGCACTTGCAGGTGTTTCTACTGCAATATGACATATGCAGTACTAAAAAAACTTGCATACTAAGAAGTCACATGCCCACCGTAACAGGGCTAATGGGAGCACAGATCTGCAGTGGCAGACTCTAAAGCTTTGCAACTTCTAACCAGAGCATTAAGGAAAACAATCGTCGGCATCTGGTGATCTATATATCCCCGGCAGCCAGTGTGTCTGGAAGCTGCCTCGGGATATGAAGACTTTGCTTAAAAAAAAAAAAAGAGGGTTTTTGGAGGTGACAGTTACACAAACCAGCCCCTGAAACCGGCCCTGTATTGCTGGTACCTCCTGGAGCGGAGGTTCTGCATCTCAGGGCTGATCACCTGCCTTTCTACATCAAGCGCAAGGACTGCAGGGAACAGTTGGTGCACCACCTCATGGCCATCACCCAGGTCGCCTTCTCCCACTGCTTGAACCTGCTGGCATCGGCTCTGGTTCTGCTGCTGCATGAGTCCTCGGACTGCCTGCTGGAGGTCTGTGAGACGTTCAGCTGCACGCACCGGTGGCATGGACGCGACACTCTCTTCACCATCTTCTCCTGGGTCTCCTGTACACTCGTCTCGTGCTCTTCCCCACCCAGATCCTGTACACCATGCTCTTCGAGCTCATCGCTGAGTCAGGCCCCTTCTTTGGCTACTACTTCTTCAATGCGCTCCTGGTGATGCTGCAGCTGCTGCATGCCTTCTGGTCCTACCTCGTCCTTCGCATGATCTGCAGCTTCGCCGTGAGAGGCCAGGTAAAGGACATTCGTAGTGCCGTTGAGGAGTTGGATTCGAGCCACAGGGAGGCTTCCCAGAGGGGCCTCAGCTGAAGAACGGGGCTGCTGCCGTCCATGGGCCTCGGAGCCGGGCAGCTGGGTGGCTAGCCAACGGGCACACGCTGGCCACGTAGCCAGCCCCGTACTGGCCGCGAGGGGCCGCCACAGTGCTCGGGCTCGTGGGCAGCCCTTACTCCAGCTCTGCAGAGCCAGGGAGGGCGCCACCCCCAGGCCGGAGGTCGGGGGCGGGCTGATGATCCGTCTGCAGCCCCTTCCTTCTGCCCACACTCCCTCCTTCCCTTGGGCAACCGGACAGAGCTGGGTGTGGGGGTGGCAGCGGGACGCTGTGACCCGCCAGAGCCACCTCCAGACTGCAGCCTGGGGACTGTGAAGAGCTCCGGTCAAAAGGGGTCCAATAAAACCTTAACGGAGCCAAGATTTTTTTTTTTTTTTTTTTTTTTTTTTGTGTGTGTGTGTGTGTGTGTGAAAACCAGTTTTTAATGAAAAAAAAATACTGAAAGTATGCCACAGTATCTATATATTCATCTGAAGAGTACAAAGATAGAATTTTGAAAAAAAGCGGTCTTAACACTATAGAAAATAAATGTGGGTCTTAAATTGTTCAAAGGAAACACTTTAAAAAAGTAATGTTTCATATAATGAAAAAAGCAATTAGAGGTAATAAATTATAAATAGAGTAGTTCAGATATTGTTTCTTTTTTAGCATTAGTTTTTCTAAATAAGTTAAACTACAAACACTTCACATTTGTTATATTCTTTCACAGAAATTGTGGAACTGAAACAATAATCCCATCTCATGATCTTTACATAGACTACACTGGTCCTTGACCATTTTAGATTTAAAACATACTTTGGTTTTTGGAGGTGAGAGATTACAAATGAAAATAGGGCCTCTGAACTCTTAGGGCTGCTGGGGTAGGCCCTGGAGGAGGTTAACCTGCCCCCCACCCTCTTGTGAGAGCTGGGTATGGACAGGGTTCTCTCTTGGGAGGGGGGGCCTTGTGTGTAGGTACTTGTCTGAAATTGTTTTTAAACAGAGCAAAAAGAGCTCTTGCTTGTGAAATTGCAAAGCTGGAAGTTTTTTTCTTAATGCTGCAATTGTTCTCCCATTGCCCCAGATCCCTATGCCTGGGACCTACCACAGCCCCCACACTATGCACACACTGTTCCCCATTTATCAACTGCAGATGATTTAAGTGGTGTTATACTCTGTTTCAAATGAAAGGCAGTAATACATTAGTGCTTAAGAGCATGGAGAAACGTTGAAATAAAAGGCAGACATTTAGTAATCGAAAGTTGGCTCTTTAAAAGTATTTTTAAAATCGAAGCACCCCTAGAGCAAGACCAACTTAGAAAAAAAAGGGTTAAAATAAAATTTCTTCTAGGAAGTTTAAGTTAGATAAAATAGATACATTTCTTATAAAAAACTGCTTACTAATCTTGTGTGGGTGAAATTGTAATATTTCCAGAATCTCTCGCCTGGCTTTAGTGCACCTCCATACCATACCTTGGTGTTTCCAAGGGGTGGAGAGAAGTAGTCCATCTCCTTATCAGTAGGAAATTGCAAGAGTGAGTGAGGGCATGTGTGGACCAGAGAGGATGAGTGGGGTCTCTTCTTCTGAAGCCAGGTCAGACAGACGTGGGACGACTGCTTGTAAGAAATAAATGGGTTTCTCCCACTTTATTTCTCCCTTTGGCACAAATTCTGAAACACTTCTACCAGTTGATATGAAAGGGCATCAGGTGGGACTGGGATAAAACATGTGCAGCTGCTTTTACATCTGCTAAGCGGGTAGTCAAGACCATACAGGCCTTGAGTGTAATGGACTCATCAAGGCTCTGTGGGCTAGATGTTCATGTGACCAGAAATGGTTATGGATGGGGCCTTTGGCAGCAGTTTCAACAGGCATACCAACCTTTTGGATTCTGGTCACAACTATGGAAAGGAGTAGAGGTCTGGTACACCTTGACAGAGAAGCAACTGCTGCTGTGTACCTCGCCTTGCTGGCTATGGAGCCCATTACTGAAACAGCTCCAGCTAAGGTAATAACCACCTATCCAATCAAAAGGGTAGGTGCAAGATGGGACTGAAAGGATATGGAGTGGTGTGGCACAGAAACCTACACTAGCCAAGTAGGGGACATATTTACATCAACATAGTGCCCTCTCTACTAGCCCTGTTGGAGAATCCAATGCTTATTTGGGCCAGTGACGTATACCAGTGGAAAGCAGGAAGAACTCGCTTTTGAGCCATTGGTACCTGAGTGTTCTTATCAGGAGGGAAAAGCCCCTGTACCTGAAGATGCTCTGTATATAGATGGCTTCAGTTGTGGGCAGCCTCCGAATTGGAGGGCTGGGGCTTTCCATCCTAAGACTGAGACAATATAGGACAGAGGACTATATATTGACAGATAGACAATATAGGAAGGAGGACAGACAGGGGAAGAGCAGCCAATGGGCTGGGTTGTGGGCAGTATGGCTCATGATCACCCAGGAGCCCTCCCCCATAGTTGTCTGCTCTGACAGCTGGGCTATCTATCAGTGCTTGACCCTGTGGCTACCGACGTGGCACCATGCCAACTGGATGGTTGGCCACCAGCCCCTTTGGGGGCAAGAGTTGTAGCAAGACCTATGGGTATCTGGTCAGACTAAGACAGTTACTTTATACCATGTGACTGGCCATTTGCCTTTGGCATCCCCAGGGAATGATGAAGCAGACACATTGACCCAGGTGCACTGGCTAGAAGGAAAGCCTGCCTCTGATGTAGCCCAATGGCTACACCAGCATTTGTTGCATGTGGGGCAAAAGACAATGTGGGCTGTAGCCCATTGGTGGGGCTGGCTGTTGACCTTTGAAGAAGTCAGCAGAGCCCAGAAGGAGTGCCTTGTGTGCTCTAAGAGGGACTCACATGAGTCCTACAGCAATATGGGACAACAGTAAAGGGGCCAATTCCCCTTGTCAGGTGGCAGATAGACTATATTGGGCCTCTGCCCATATCAGAAGGATATCAGTATGCCATGACTTGTGTGGACACGGCTACTGGACTACTGGGTGCTTTTCCTGCACATTGTGCAGATCAGCAAACTACCAAGAGGGGCCTAGAACATCTCTTTGCAGCTTATGGCCAGCCACAGGTGATTGAGAGTGATCAAGGCACCCACTTTACTGGACATGCATTACAAGAATGGGTGCAGCAATTAGGAATAAAGTAGAAGTTTCATGTGCCATATAACCTTACTGGGCAGGGATGATAATGGTTTGTTGAAATTTGGCCTGAAGTCGGAACTGACTTCAGGGCTGGTCAGCTCATTTCTGGACAGTGCTATGGCATTTGAATAAGAGGCCCTGAAAAGGCCCCATGGATATGCTAACACACATTGCTGCCTCTCCTATACAACTGTATGTGCAAACCAAAGAGGAGTTACTGAAGCCAGGATATGGCCAGCAGAGCAACATTCTGCTGCCAGCCCCAACTGCATTAAACCCTGGAGACACTTTTGAGTGGACATGGCCCTGGACATTTTGACACATGAACCAGCGATAGCTGGTGCTTCTGGCACCTTGGGGAAAAGGCCTGGAAGCTGACCTCCTGTGTATTCCTGGAGTAACAGCAGAGTGGCCCCCAAAGATCAACAGAAGTGTACCCCAAATGTCTGAGAGGTAAGAGCATCTTACAGGAAAGTTTTGTTTTATCTTTATGGCCAGTGCATGTACTTCCCATAGCCCTACATATTGACCCTTCCATAACTCCCACAGGAAGTGGGGTGAAAGCCTAGTATACTAGACCAGGACAAGATCCTGCCACTGTCCTATCACAGGACCACTCTCTTGCATGCATCCTACCTGATGGGCAAGATTTGCCTATGCTGATGTTATTAAAACATGTATGTTATCACCCTTAAGGTTCTTTTCTTCTACAGTCCCTGTGGCCTGGACCCACCCCCTGGCTGTAGCTACTACATGATGATTGCTCTGAACTCTCTACCTGTTCAGCTACCGACTGCCTGTGAATGGGTGAGCTATGGACTAAACCTGCATAGGACTTTGAACTTAGCTGAATCCTCTTGCTTGAAGATTATCGTGATATTATTGCTGTTGCTATTGTATGTTATTAATCTGGTTACAGTGCTCCACTTTTCTTGCACAGGAGTCATTGCAGAAGATGGGGAGCAAGTAGATTGTGAGGTGAGATTTCTGGAGGGGTGGGCTGTGGGTAAAATTGCAATATATCCATAATCTCTCACCTGGCCTTAGTGAATATCCATATCAATAGGTATTCCCAAGGGGTGAAGAGAAATAGTCCATTTCCATATCAATAGGTAATTATAAAAGTGAGTGAGGGCATATCTGGACCGGAGAGGTTTAGTGGGGTCTCTTCTCCTACAGCCAGGTCAGAGAGACATGGGACAACTGCTGGTAAGAAATAAACAGGTTTCTCCCACTTTATTTTTCTCTTTGACTGATTTCAGTTTCAAAGGTATTTTGCCCTGGGATTTTCCCACTGGAGTTACATCCTGACACAAGAAGAAAGAGGAGAGCTAAATAGTGAGACATATAGAGTATCTACTGCGTCAGCCCAAATATATGAAGTTCAAGAACAGGCAAAATGAATGCATGGTGATAGAACTCAGACTAATAGTCACCTTGAGAGAGGAAATGTCTGGGAAGTGGAATGAGGAAGACTTTGGGGATGTATTAAGTGTTTTATATCTTGATCTGAACAGAGGTTCCTGAGTGTGTACATATGTTAAAATTCATCAAGCTGTACCATGAACATTTGTGCCTTTTTTACATGTATGTTGTAGGACAAGGTCAGGCTCGTCTGAACCTTTGTTTCCATTAGGCTTTGTCCTTGACTTGTGAATCCTGCTAGTTTATTAAGATTCCTTACACCTTTGATATCCAATTAAGCTCCTCTTCCCCCACTTTTGATATTTAATCAGGTTCTTCTCTGACTCTTGAGACCTAACCAAGTTCCTCTGAGTAATTTTTCCATCTACTTCCTGCTTATGGGCTATAAATTCCCACTCATCCCTCTTGTATTCAGAGCTGAGTTCAGTCTCTCTCTCCTATTATAACAGTCTGAACTGCTATTGAAATAGATTTGAATAAAATCTTCCTTAATTTTTAACAAATATCCAGTGCAATGATTTTTCTTTTATACATAATATAGCATTTTAAATTTCTATTCACTTTTGCATTCCTAATATTTTAGAAGACTTTAACAATTAGAAGACTTAGAAATATTTCAAATCCCAACATAGTCACTTTTTAGATATATGACTTAGGGAGAATAAGGTGGCTCTCTGAGCTTCAGTCTTTTGATCTGTAAGAGAGGAGGAGTAGTCTCTACATAGAGTAGCTGTAGGCTAGAGTGAGATGATAAACATCAAGTGCTTGGAACAGTGCCCATTCTGAGACTAAGGTGATTTTTTTTGTTTATACTCTTCACATGAGAAGTTAAAGGTCTTTTTTTTTATAACAACTATTGAAATATATTCCTGAAGATGTAAGGGTAGAAAAGCATGATTTAGGATGTGAAAGCCTTCAGCCTTCCTGGACATTCCAGTGTGGTGATAGGTGGAGGCAGCCAAGGGTTCGTGAGAAGGCACTGGGGTCATGCAGAGCTCTGCATGCTGGCTTGTGTAACTCTGGACCCAGAGCAAGTTCCCAGCCAGAAGCAAATTACCTTTGAAATTGAAATCAGCCAAAGGGAGAAATAAAGTGGGAGAAACTGTTTATTGCTCACAAGCAGTCGTCCACTTCTGCTCGCCTGTGTCTCTCAAGACCCAGCTGCAAAAAGGGACCCCACCCAGCCTCTCCAGTCCAGATATGCACTCGCTCCCCCATGTAATTACCTATAGATATGGAGAGGGACTACTTCTCTCCACCCCTTGGAAACACCTATATATATGAGATGCACTAAGGCCAGGCAAGAGATTCTGGAAATACTGCAATTTTACCCACACTCTGTCTCTTGGTATCTTGTGAACCTAGCAAACTGCTGAGCAAATGACTCTGGTCCTGTGTCCTTACCAGTAATTTTGAAATAATATTATATTATTATTGAGATAATTAATACTTATTATTAAATAATAAAATATTAAGTGAAATAGTTTGTCTTTCCAGTTCCAGTCCCACAGCAATCACTCAGAGTATTTGCTTTATTACTATAATTCTTATTGTTATTATTTACTGTTGTCATTATCAGAAAGGCACCAGATTTAGAGTAGGAGGCCTGCCTTCCAGTTCACATATTGCCACCTTCTAACTAGGTTGCACCCTTATTTCTGGTTTCATCTTTTCTTAAATGGGGAAAATCATATGTACTTGAGAAAAAAGCAAACATCTGGTAAAAAAAAAAAAAGCATTTCAGAATCTATTTTCTTACAGGATTATATGTGACTTTTCACAATCCTGTAAGAAAATAGAATCTGAATTTTTGTTTTTTTACCCAGTATGACTCGCTGACTATCTTTTAGGAGGCACAAATCACAGCTCTGTGCTCAGAGGCGGCTGGGCTCCCACTGACCTTCGTCCATGGCTTTAGTTTGGCTGTCAGATACAGTCACACTCTCTGCCTCTGGTATTTTCTTAATGAACCGGCTGAGGTAATGTAGACGAGCCTGAGAAGCCTAAAGAGCAAACACTATCAAGACAGTATAGGCAACACATCTTAACAATACGCATAAGAAATAGGGAACTGTGAATGAATTGGGCAGTCTGGACCAGGTCAGCTCTCATCAATTATCAAATAAATTCAGAACCATCCTTGAGTTTGACGGTTATTTTTGAGAACTAATAAAAAAGCAATCCGGAAATTAATACACATGATGTGCTATCTTAGATCCAGCTGCTTCTCTACCTTTCTCACCGGCTTCAATAACCCAGAGCTGGGATATGAAACATGCTATAATGTTTCACTTACAGCAAAGTTTCTTATATAAAACTTAGTGGGGAGGGAGACATAAGGTATGTAGATTCCAAAAGGGGAGGCACATGCTTTCTATCTATCTATCTAAGGCTGTTCGAGATGTGAAAGCGCATGTTAAACGTTTTAATGCTTGCTTGTTTGGAAGTGCGAAGAGCAGGCGTGGAGATAGCCCACGCTATGGGAAAGAACAAGACGGCCCACAGCTTGGGCTGATAAACGGCCCCATTGGGTGCTTTGCTTTTGGATCAGGAGTGTGATGTTTCACGGGTCCAAATGTGGTCTTAACATTTAGTTAGTCGATGTCTGACAAAATTCTAGATGCCATTCCTAAAGGAAAGGCTACGTGCTTTCACCAATGTGGCTCCTCCTCCAGACCTTGTGTAGGAAGGAAAAGTGAAAGAACAGCACTGCAAACTCTGCTGACCTTGACTGCTCTGCCTGGCTCGGTCGTCTCCCAGGCTTGTTTCAGGGCTCGGATTTCATCGGCTCGTTCTGTGTCTTTTTTTACTTCAAAAAAGTCTCCTTCACTGTGCTCAGTGACCAGCCTCAGAATCCAGTAGGGTTTATTTGGGTTTTCTTGTTGAAGGTGAGCAGCAGACATCTGATGAAATAAATTAAAGCCTTTGGGTCAGGTTCTTTCCTCCTTTCAAAAGGGTTTAGGTTTTACCCTGTGACTCCTAATTTCACTATTAGGTATTTACCCAGGAAAAGAAACACAGTTACAAAAAGACTTGGACAAGAATATTCATTACAGGGTTACTCACAATAGCCAAAAAAAAAAAAAGAGGAGGGAGAGACACAAATGTCTGTCAATTGACGAATAAACAAATTATATTCATATGATTGAATACTATTTAACATTAACATTAAAAGGCAATAAACTACTGATGTACACCACAGTGTGGTCCTATCTCAGATAGACATTATACTAAGATAAAGAAGTTGAGCACTAAAGAATACACTTGTATGATACATTTTTATGAAATTCCAGAACAGGCAAAACTGTTGCCTGGGGTGAGGTATGGAGATGACATGACCCACAGCAAAGAGGTTTGAGGGAATTTCTGAGCTTATGGAAATGGTCTATAACCTATACCCTGAGAGATACATGGGTTACATGGGGAATGCTCTTGTCAAAACTCAATGAATTGTACAATGAAGATTATTATATTTCATTGTATGCAAATTTTACTTAAAAACTGTAAAAAAAAAATGATCCTAAATTACTTAGGCTCCCATAGCACTTCTTCACAAAAATGTGGGCAGGAATAGTTAATCATTTCCAGGTCTGGATATAGTTGACATATATCCATTATGGAAGTTAACACTTTGATATCTCACAGAATCTCTTTCATGGACCATAGGCTGGGAGCAGACTGATACAGGACTTGAAAATGTTTAGATAAGTGAGGCTCACTGACAACTATCTGGTAGGGCAAGAGGCTTGAGTCTGATGTAGTTACTACCACATTACACAAGATTGAGGCAACGTCAAAAATAAAGTTTCCATGTGCAGTTGGGTTACAATGTTACCAAAAAAACCTCTATTTTCTATAAATATTCCCCTAATATTCTTCTGAGAATTTAAATCTCAAAATTGGAAATTCTCTAATTTCTTCCCTTTAAAACACAGTATATATGCTTTTTATCATCTTATTATATTACTTGATAAATGAGCTTATTAAAAACTTCTCAAGTTTTGATCCTATGAAGGATGAAGCAGGGCCACATGTCCTGTAAGAATTTATGAATTGAGTTAAACTTACTAGTTTTAAGTTATAATAGTTTGTTTTTGTTAATGATAGGAGTATTTATCAGTGAATTCAAATAATTGATTTTATAACAATGCAGGATAAACTTGGAGCTACATCTAGAAGAGTTAACATACAACATTACCTTGAAGTTTCAGGAGAACAAAGTGGTTGATTAGATATTCATCTGTGTTTTTGAACCAAACCATGTTGAAATAAGCAATTTCAAATGGAAACCTGTATCTAGTTCTTTCACATTTCAAATGGAATAGTCCATTGATGGAGAAAATTCTGTTTTTCTCATCCATTTAGGTATAACAATAAAAGGCAGCATTTGGATTATAGAATGTAACTAATAAAAACATAAGTAATGTAAATTTAAGAAAAAATTAGCTTTTCCATTTGACATATAACAATGATCAAATAAATTCAATATGATTATGGTGACTAAAACGAGAATACAAAGTATAATATGATAGTTTCCAGTTTCTTGTTTGGCACATAGATTGATACATTTTTGAACGTCAAACAATATAACACCAACATCTACTAAAACCAAATGGCACAATATCAAGATTCCTAAAGCTTACTTAATTATTAGTATCATAAAAACCTAATGCCTATATGAATTCTGTAACCAAGCACATACTTTGTACTGTGCAAGCTGGTCCACCACCATCTTGTCCAGGATTCCCCAGAATTCATGAGTATTTCAAAGTTAACTCAGGCTGATTCCTGAAAGTAGTTATTTAATTTGATGGATCTTCTGATCAGGCCCTCAGTTTTGAGAATATATGCATACACTCATTGCAATTTTGAAAAGAGTGGAAGGCCATTATATGCATACATTATCTAATTGTTAGATTTCTGCAGAATTATTTTTTTCTTTACAATATTTTTACAAGTTTTTTTCATGTTTTCTTCATTTCTTTCTGTACTTCAACCCTTTCAACTGCAGCTGATCCAGCTTTTCATTTGGACTTTCATCTAGAATTATGTTTTCACCCATTATAGGATTAAATCTAAAATAGGTATCAGGAGGTGACAGATCATCAAGTAGCATATAGGCCTCTGTCCTGCAGCACTGTCGACAACATTAGTTTGTTTTTCAAGCTTGTGTATGTCACAGTATTTCTCATATCACTGTCATAATTTCTCATGCCCATGGATACTGTGCACTTGAATGGGATGTCTGGCCAAAGACATTTATGCTCACATAGTTGCTAATGCTAAAGGGTTATTCATAAGCAAACCTTCATCTTGATGAAGATCATTTCCCATTGGCACATTGTGCAAAGTAGCCTGGAGCAGCAGATGAGTCTCTCCTGGTCTGCCACATTTTATACAGACAGTTTCCCCAAAAGTGAGAGTTGACTCCAGGAAAATGACCGTAGTTTCCGAACACAGGAGTTTGGGGCATTATCCCTCTGTTGACCATGGTACTTACCGCAACTACCTTAGGAAATGTAGGATTTCTGGCTGTTTCAATATTGGTACAAATCCCATTCTAACCTGAAGATTTCCCCATGTTTAGCTCATAAAATCCATGGCTCCAACCATGACATTTTTTGATGACACAACTGATTCTAATTTTCAGTAAAGTTCCTGATTTTCAACCAGGGGTATATGAAATAATTCCAACATAAAAGCTAATACTGCATCTGTGTGTACACAACAAATGCAATCAAAGGTCTCATAAACTGGGTTCTCAGTAAGTTCAACTAACTTTTGCAGCATCTGAAGAGCAACAACATCCCTTGTTCTTCTACTATAAAGTATGAGAATTTGGATACCTTTCTATCTCGGGATTACATAGCGAATTAAGGCCAAAATTTCTCCAACTGCAGCCTGAATAGCACTGTCCAGAATTTTTCTCTGTCACAATAAATATAGAATAATTATTTCCTTGGAAATCACTCCTTTTCCCTCAGGAAATCTTAGCAGATGAAGAGTCAGTCCTTCAATCCTATTAATGCCACGATTTGGGTCTGTTGTTAATGCTTGAATTCAAGCCTGGGCTCTGTCTTCAACACTCACTCTTGTAATCTTTTCTTGCTGAAGAGGTAAGTGCTTTTTCTCCTTTGCTTTTTTGTCTTTGCTGATAGCCTGCTCAGCTTTAATCACCTCTTCTTGTTCTGACTCTTCTGACTGAACCATACTTTAATTTGGGGGCAAGTCCACCAATATAACCACCTTCTAAAGCTTACACACCTTCAGGAGGATGAGAAAGAAAGTTAGCAATACTTTGCTTACTAGAAAATGGAAGGATCTCAGGCATTCCACCAGGGCTTGAACACTGGTCCACAGTACGAAAAGAAGTTTCTAAGCTTCTTATCAGTCAGGATACCAGGGTCTGGACAACAGATCTTTCTTCTTCAATATTTTTAGCTTCATTCTCTGATTTGTCCTGGAAATGTTTATTTTCCTTTTTTGGAATATTTTTTCCCCCTTACATTAATGTATGAGTTGATATGATTTGATAAAAAGCAGAATGACTCCACATTGTGTGATTATAACTAGTCATGTAATGAAAAAGGCTTCACTTATCTCTTATCTTCATCCTTATCCATACCATGAGTTTTCTTAGAAAACTCTTTCCTGATGACTTAAGATTATGTATTTTTTCAGAGAACTGATGGCATGTTTCATGTTTTTCCATTTTAACCAGTCACTAACAGATACTTTTCTTAGTATTTGAGAACTTGGTGTAAGTTGAGGGAAACATGAAGTCATTTCATTCTGATTGCCAAAAACAACCTTTGAAACAAGGTTCAAAGTACTTCATAAATATGAACTCTCACTTGTGTAAATTCCTTGGGAGCAGAAGTGCTATTTCAAACTCTGCTTGGAGAGTGACATTGCTTACGGCAAGAATCTGCTTCATTTTTTGTTCATTTACGTCTTATTTTCCTTGTATGAAAACCTCTTTGTAGAATGGTGTGACTTATCCTCCAGCAATGTTCAGGCAAGTACAAGAACTGCAGTTGCTTGCTTCTGCTTCCCACAAAGATTTTTTGCACAATTGGATGCAGGTTGCAGCTGCATCTGTAGCAGGGGCAACTCATGTCTTCCCAGCATTGACACTGACTAGGACAGACTGCGGCAGCCGAGCTTCCAACACAAACAGAAGAGCAGCAGCCCAGGGGCGACCCCATCAATTCCATCCCACCCCAGAAGTCAGGATAAAGCTTTCTTCACAATGTTCCCAAGGGTAGATTCCAACTAAGAAATTAGATCTTGGAAATGGAAGTGGACAGGTTTTTCCATTACTGAAGTCTGAGAAAACCGATCATCATTTCTCTAAATTTGTTAATTTTCCTTTATTATCTTTTACTAGTGGTACCAACATCCTATTCAGTTAATCTTGCAAACCTGGGAGTTATACTTTGTTTCTTCCTGTTCCTTACCACCCACTTCAGATTAATAACTCCATACCCCATTTGTTTCCTAAATAATTCTTCCTTTCTTTGACCTGTACCCAGTATACCTCGCACTCTTGCCTGGATTATTGCAGTATTTTTTTGAATTGTTTTCCCATCTCTAATCTTTTCCCCTTTAAATTCATACCTTTAAAAGTTACCAGGGTTTCTGAAATGTAAATCCAATTATGTCAGTACACTTCTCAAAGCCTCCACCTTCCAGTCCTGCTTAGCCTAAACAGTGGTCACAAAAGGTAGGAAGATTTTTATTCTCATAGGTGTTTTGTTTGAGTTCAGTGTTTTTAAATAACTTGAATTTGAGTCTTTTTAGGCATGTGCTAGTACACCTCAGAATACCCCTAATCATTGTAACTACCTAACTGGCTCTGAAGGAATTTGGAATCATGACCTCTGGGCTGTAGACAGAGTCCCAGCCTTCTAATGAGGCACTCCACCTTTGACTTTTACCCCTCCAATCTCATCGTTCCTACAAAAAACAGACTGTGTTGGTTTATGCCTTAGAATGTTTTAGCTCATTGGCTCATTCAGGAAAAGACTAAAATGAGAACTTATTCTTCGTATTACTGCACATATAGTATCTAATATTAAAATTATTTACCTTCACTTTCCTCCTTTTATGAGTTCTTTGAGGGTAGGGGCTATATAATATTAATATTAGAAACCCAAGTCCCCAAAACAATATTTTACATAATAAAAGTTCAGTTAATGCTTTTTGATACCAAACCAGGAAAGGCAGCTTGCTGAAAGTATACAAGGAATGTCCTTAAGATGTAGCATTTGAAAGAACTCACTTCCTCTTTCCTGTACTCATGCCAGTCACACATTCACTCTCTTTGTTGCCTAGACCAGCATTTATCAGCTGCGGATGGTATATAAACAGTTGTTGGAATCAGGGAGATGGAATTTTTCAGTTTTATCCTCATGAGAGATGGGAAAATAAGCATCAAATGAATCTAGATTTATTAAGTGACTCAGTATCACACTCACCTGAGGCTCCAGACGAGGTGCTGGTTTTTCTTTGGCTGTCTTTTCTTTCTCAGAAGACTTTTCTTTGCCTTTTCTTGTTGATTTGAAAGTTCCTGAAGATTTTTGCCCCTCACTGAAAGTATGGGAATCTGATCTCCCCAAGTGAATTAATTCCTCATGTTTCTCTCCATGAGCTAGAGAGACATAAAAATGGAAACCAGTGAGTCATAATATAACAATAAAATCATGTCATGTAGGAACAAAGGAAGCAAGTCAGGAAAAAAGTGGTTAGTCTAATGAGTTCAGATTTCTTTTTTTAAACAAAGAAATAAATCTTTTGTAAAGATCTATGTGGCTCCCTTTTTAAAGAATTGAGAATTACCATGCCATAAATTAGCCATTGAGGTTTATACATCAGTGAGTTTGGTGTATAATAATGTTATGCAAAATTTATCACTGTCTAATTCACTTGCAATCCGGATAGTTTCTCTTCATTTTCTTGCCTTATTGCCTTGTCTAGAATCTCCAGTACAACATGGAATTCATTTATCTCTGCTTTATATTAAATATTTATTATTCAGCTTGCTTTGGACTTAGTTTGTTCTCCAGTTTTCTAGGTTTTAAAGTGAAAGGTTATGTTATTGAGATCTTTCTTTTTTTTAATTTAAGCATTTATAGCTATAATTGTCCTTCTTAGCACTTTCACTGCATCTCGTAAGTTTTAGTATATTGTTTTCTTTTTCATTCATCTCTAGGTATTTCTTCATTTCTCTTATGTTTTTTACCCATTGGTTAGGAGTATGTTGTTTAATTTTCATATGTTTATGTATTTCCCAAACTTATTTGTTACTGATTTCTAATTTCCTTCCATTGTGATCAGAAAGAATACTTTGTATGATCTTTATCTCTTTTCATTTATTTAGACTTGTTCCATTGCTTTATATTTGGTCTATCCTGCAGAATGTTCTAAGTGCACTTGAGAAGAAGGTGTTTTCTGCTATTGTTGAGTGGACTGTTGTATAGAAATCTGTCAGGGAAAGCTGGCTTATAGTGTTGTTCAAATTTTCTATTTCATTACTGATTTTATGCCAAGTAGAACTATTTATTATTACAAATAGAATATTTAATTGCCAACTATTAATGTAGATTTGTTCATTTCAACCTGAAATTCTGTTAGTCTTTGCTTCATGTATTTTGAACTCTGTTGTTAGATTCATATATGTTTATTATTATTATATTTCTTGAAGGATTGACTCTTACTATTATAAAATGTCCTTCTTTGTCTTTAGTAAATTATATCTTGCTTAAGGTCTACTTTGTCTGTATTGAAATAGTCACGTCAGGTCTCTTTTAGTTACTGTCTGCATAGTACTACCTTTTCCATTGTTTAGCTTTCAAACTATGTGTATCTTTGAAACTAAAGTGTATTTCTTGTAGACAGCACATAGTTAGAGGCTTTTTTATCCATTTTGCCCATCTCTGTCTTTTAATTAACTAGAGAATTTCAATTAACAGTTGATGTAATGCCTGGCACAGTAGGCTTTATGTATGCCTTTATATTACTGCTTTTCTATAGGTCATACCTTTCTTTTCCTCCATTCCTGCCTTCTTTTGTATAAAATATTTGCTACTGTACTATTAATTCCCTTGTATTTTGTTTGTGTGCTATAGATATTTATTTGTTTTCTTAGTGGTTGCCCTGATGACAACAATTAGTACCTCAATTTATAATCATCTAGTTGTAATTAATACCAAATTAACTTCTATACTATGAAATGTCTTTGCTGTTGTATAGTTCTGACCCTCCTTTATGCCATTAATATCACAAATCCTATCTTTATACATTTTGTCACTATTACCACAGACTTAGAATTATTGCTTTATGCTATTGTCTTTTAATTCAGATAGAAGGAAAATCAGAGTTACAAACAAAAAAATACATTAATGTTGACTTCCATATTTATCAGTGTAATTATGTTTACTAGTGCCCTTAATTCTTTCATGTGGATTAAAGTTACTGCCTAGTGTACTTTATTTTCAGTCTGATTTCCTTTAGTATTTCTTGTAGGACAGTTTTCTTACTGACAAATTTCCTAATGTTTTATTTTTCTGAGAATGTCTTAATTTCTTCTTTATTTTTGAAGAATCATTTTTCTGGATATAGAATTCTTGGTAGGCAATTTTTTCCATCTCTTTGAGGCTGTCACCCCACTGGCTTCTGTCTCTATAGTTTTTTACAAAACAATCTGCTATTAGTCTTACTGTGGATCCTGTATGTGATGAGTCACTTCATTGCTGCTTTTAAGATTGTTTTTGTCTTTATACTTTGATTATGACTTGTCTAGCTGTGGATCTATTAGAGTTCATCCTATTTGGAGTCTGTTTAGTTAGCTGAATTTACCAACTGATGCTGTTCATCAAATCTGAGACTTTTTTTTTCAGCCATTATTTCTTCAAATAGCCTTTCTGCCACTGTTTCTTCTCTCTGGGGTTCACATTATATATATATGTTGGTATGCATAGTGGTGCCCCATAAGTCTTTGAAGATCTATTCCTTTTTCTTCATTCCTTCATTTCTTTAAATGTTCTTCAGACTGGATAATATCAATCAAACTATCTCCCATCCTAAGGTAAAGGCTTAAACAATGAACTGGCTTTGAGTCAAGCTTGTAAGTGGGGTCTTCCAGGATATCACCAAACAAGTCAAATAATAAGTCTTTGAGAATGAGACTTTAAAAGAGCTCTAGTTCCATTTTACTCTTTCCAGTGTCTACTAACCTACAGTGGGAATACAGACTATTATTTTTCAAGTCCACTGCTGAGCTGAAGACCAGGGTATGGGACTAAAGAAAGTTAAAAAGCCACACAGTTCACTCTTTTTAAAGAGATTTGACTGTTTTTCTTAAAAAGCCTTTGCTAAATTCCAGAGTTCTGTAAAAGTTGATTCTTATCATTTCTGCCACCTTTTTTCATTGTTTATGTGGAGGAGCTAATTTTCAGAGTAATCTTCATTACTCTGCCATTTCCACTGATGCCCTGCTGGATTTGTTTTCTTATCTAAACCTCCTGAGTTATCTCTCATCTCATGCTGCTTGTCTGAGTCCTAAGAGAATGGATAGTTCACATACACCAGGTCTCTGGAAACCTTGTTGCAAGGTGTAATTACAAAAAGCTCTGTAGAGGTAAGTGAGATTCCATTTAAGCAGCTCAGCTCTTGAGCATGATGAAGAGACCAAGTCAAAAATGGACTAATGTGTGGAAAGAAAAATAAGAAAAATTAGACCATAAAATGAGGATAATGTTATTTAAATGAGAGAAAAGACAAGGCCTAAAGGTAGAGATGATGAGCCATAGAAATTGGATCAAGATAAGAAAGAAGAAATGAATACAAAGATTTGTTTAAGAAGCCACCCAGTAAAATCACCTTTTATCAAAAGCCCAGCATAGAAAGTTAGAGAGGCTGCAGAGGGTACATTTTCTCCTTAGTTCTTTGGTATTCTTTGTCAGTCAAGATTTCTGAAGAAACACTGCTTGCACAAATATGGAAGCCCATGTAGTCAGTGCAGCTTTCTCCTGGAGTCTTGTTATACTGCCGTGCTTCACACAGATGAGGCAGTGCCAGCCTTTTGTCACAAGCCCAATATAAGGTAACAGGACTAAGACCAGTTTCAGTGGCCAGAGCCACCACCTCCGGATTCTGACCCAGTAAAATGTGGGTCCCAGGTATCTTAATGCCAGCAGAGTCAGGAATTAACTGTATTTTTGAGTTGCACTTATGGCCAGCACTAAATTTAAAAGCTCACAAAAACTAGGGTGGTACATATACACAATGGAATATTATTCAGCCATAAGAAGAAAACAAATCCTACCATTTGCAACAACATGGTAACATGGATGGAGCCAGAGGGTATTATGCTCAGTGAAATAAGCCAGGTGGAGAAAAAGAAGTATCAAATAATTCCACTCATCTATGGAGTATAAGAACAAAGAAAAAAACTGAAGGAGCAAAACAGCAGCAGACTCACAGAACCCAAGAATGGACTAACAGTTACCAAATTTGACCTAGTAAAATGCTGAACTCAAAGCATATATTCTGTATCAGATTGGGTAACTTTAATGTACAAAGCTTTATAAGGAATTGATATGTGTTTCAAGGATATATATCAGTGAGATGCAATAATAAATGTCTTTCTGATTCAAAAATTTCAAAAAATATGACCTCACATTATATATCATGTAATTAGAAGAGCTTTAGAGGAAATGACCACTGACTATTATACCTTTTGCAGAGAGGAAGTGTTCAAGTAATATCTGTTGATAAAATGAACTTGAAAAGGCCTTTAGCATTATGTCTTTATGTTTCCTCTTAAATTATCTTACATTGTGTCCAAAATACAGTAGACAGAAATCTTCAATCAATAATAAATATAAAAAATACCAACATGTTTTTGTAATTGTTTTTACAATTAAAACTCAGTGCTTAGATTTATATATCTAGGAACCAAAAACTGGTTGGGATTTGAACATTAGAGTAATTTCTAAAGTAGAATACCTGTTTAGGGCTAAGTATACATTTGCCATGTGACAGTAAATATAAAAAGAAAAAATATATATAAATGTATATATATAGGTAGATAAATGACAGTAAGTCATAATGTTTGGTTTCTTCAAAGACCTTTAATGGGAAACACCATGCATGCATTGTGCCTAAGAAAGAACAGTATAATATTAGAGTTAAAGATAGTGTTATTATAATCTTGCTAATAAATTTTGTTGGAACTTGAAACCAAATACTCTTAAAAAAGATAAAGTTTATACATGTTTTTGCAAATAGATTATACATGTTTTGCAAATAGGTGCAGGCCAATAACATAAAAATCTAACACACTGGCAAAAGGACATTAAAACACCCCCACCAGCAAGTACATGAGATCACCAAGCACTATCTGCTCCAGAGCCAACTTAAGTGAAAATCAGCTGTCTCAGTAAGCGATTTTTACTAAAAACTCAGGTATTGAAATATACTAAAGGTGGCACTGTTGTCTCATATTAACCAGAGGACAGGCTTCCTAAAACTTTAAAACAGAAATGTCCTAAATTGTATATAGCTACATTTCAGCCCTTGCTTTTTTATCATGGATTATAAAGATGTGAATTTTTATATTTCTCATAGAAATTAAATATTGGATTTAAA